GCCGTCAAAAGGAAGTGATAGCCGAGGCTATTTGAGCCACTTCCCCGACGGCAACTCGGATGGTAATCTTGGGCATAGCATTTCACCAAATCACCTCATTCTTTGGGGCACACGTGAGGAACACAAATGCGAACAAGCCTGAATGGTCCCCAGGACTATATGCGAATGAAAACTCACACCCCAGAAGTGACTCGAACCCATACTCCCAGAAGCAACGCAACTGGTAACTACAGGGCGCCTTAATCCGCTTGACCATCACGGCCGTCAAAAGGAAGTGATAGCCGAGGCTATTTGAGCCACTTCCCCGACGGCAACTCGGATGGTAATCTTGGGCATAGCATTTCACCAAATCACCTCATTCTTTGGGGCACACGTGAGGAACACAAATGCGAACAAGCCTGAATGGTCCCCAGGACTATATGCGAATGAAAACTCACACCCCAGAAGTGACTCGAACCCATACTCCCAGAAGCAACGCAACTGGTAACTACAGGGCGCCTTAATCCGCTTGACCATCACGGCCGTCAAAAGGAAGTGATAGCCGAGGCTATTTGAGCCACTTCCCCGACGGCAACTCGGATGGTAATCTTGGGCATAGCATTTCACCAAATCACCTCATTCTTTGGGGCACACGTGAGGAACACAAATGCGAACAAGCCTGAATGGTCCCCAGGACTATATGCGAATGAAAACTCACACCCCAGAAGTGACTCGAACCCATACTCCCAGAAGCAACGCAACTGGTAACTACAGGGCGCCTTAATCCGCTTGACCATCACGGCCGTCAAAAGGAAGTGATAGCCGAGGCTATTTGAGCCACTTCCCCGACGGCAACTCGGATGGTAATCTTGGGCATAGCATTTCACCAAATCACCTCATTCTTTGGGGCACACGTGAGGAACACAAATGCGAACAAGCCTGAATGGTCCCCAGGACTATATGCGAATGAAAACTCACACCCCAGAAGTGACTCGAACCCATACTCCCAGAAGCAACGCAACTGGTAACTACAGGGCGCCTTAATCCGCTTGACCATCACGGCCGTCAAAAGGAAGTGATAGCCGAGGCTATTTGAGCCACTTCCCCGACGGCAACTCGGATGGTAATCTTGGGCATAGCATTTCACCAAATCACCTCATTCTTTGGGGCACACGTGAGGAACACAAATGCGAACAAGCCTGAATGGTCCCCAGGACTATATGCGAATGAAAACTCACACCCAGAAGTGACTCGAACCCATACTCCCAGAAGCACGCAACTGGTAACTACAGGGCGCCTTAATCCGCTTGACCATCACGGCCGTCAAAGGAAGTGATAGCCGAGGCTATTTGAGCCACTTCCCCGACGGCAACTCGGATGGTAATCTTGGGCATAGCATTTCACCAAATCACCTCATTCTTTGGGGCACACGTGAGGAACACAAATGCGAACAAGCCTGAATGGTCCCCAGGACTATATGCGAATGAAAACTCACACCCCAGAAGTGACTCGAACCCATACTCCCAGAAGCAACGCAACTGGTAACTACAGGGCGCCGTAACCCGCTTGACAATCACGGCCGTCAAACGGAAGTGATAGCCGAGGCTATTTGAGCCACTTCCCCGACGGCAACCCGGATTACCATCCGAGTTGCCGTCGGGGAAGTGGCTCAAATAGCCTCGGCTATCACTTCCTTTTGACGGCCGTGATGGTCAAGCGGATTAAGGCGCCCTGTAGTTACCAGTTGCGTTGCTTCTGGGAGTATGGGTTCGAGTCACTTCTGGGGTGTGAGTTTTCATTCGCATATAGTCCTGGGGACCATTCAGGCTTGTTCGCATTTGTGTTCCTCACGTGTGCCCCAAAGAATGAGGTGATTTGGTGAAATGCTATGCCCAAGATTACCATCCGAGTTGCCGTCGGGGAAGTGGCTCAAATAGCCTCGGCTATCACTTCCTTTTGACGGCCGTGATGGTCAAGCGGATTAAGGCGCCCTGTAGTTACCAGTTGCGTTGCTTCTGGGAGTATGGGTTCGAGTCACTTCTGGGGTGTGAGTTTTCATTCGCATATAGTCCTGGGGACCATTCAGGCTTGTTCGCATTTGTGTTCCTCACGTGTGCCCCAAAGAATGAGGTGATTTGGTGAAATGCTATGCCCAAGATTACCATCCGAGTTGCCGTCGGGGAAGTGGCTCAAATAGCCTCGGCTATCACTTCCTTTTGACGGCCGTGATGGTCAAGCGGATTAAGGCGCCCTGTAGTTACCAGTTGCGTTGCTTCTGGGAGTATGGGTTCGAGTCACTTCTGGGGTGTGAGTTTTCATTCGCATATAGTCCTGGGGACCATTCAGGCTTGTTCGCATTTGTGTTCCTCACGTGTGCCCCAAAGAATGAGGTGATTTGGTGAAATGCTATGCCCAAGATTACCATCCGAGTTGCCGTCGGGGAAGTGGCTCAAATAGCCTCGGCTATCACTTCCTTTTGACGGCCGTGATGGTCAAGCGGATTAAGGCGCCCTGTAGTTACCAGTTGCGTTGCTTCTGGGAGTATGGGTTCGAGTCACTTCTGGGGTGTGAGTTTTCATTCGCATATAGTCCTGGGGACCATTCAGGCTTGTTCGCATTTGTGTTCCTCACGTGTGCCCCAAAGAATGAGGTGATTTGGTGAAATGCTATGCCCAAGATTACCATCCGAGTTGCCGTCGGGGAAGTGGCTCAAATAGCCTCGGCTATCACTTCCTTTTGACGGCCGTGATGGTCAAGCGGATTAAGGCGCCCTGTAGTTACCAGTTGCGTTGCTTCTGGGAGTATGGGTTCGAGTCACTTCTGGGGTGTGAGTTTTCATTCGCATATAGTCCTGGGGACCATTCAGGCTTGTTCGCATATATATATATATATATATATATATATATATATTTGTTGAATCAAATTTCACCTAACCATTTTAGTGTTTGCAAAATACATTGTAAAGTTTGTAATAAATTGTGAGGTTAAACTATGAATGTGAAGACACACAACGTGGTGGTCCTGGTCAATACTTGCACGCTGTGTACTGTTTCCAGGGATCATCATCCCCGCGGCCCGGTCTCTGACCTAGAATGGTCATCAAAATATTCTCCACTGTACAGTATATATATATATATATATATATATATATATATATATATATATATATATATATATATTATATATATATTCAGGGTGTGTTTCAGGGTATACTGAAAGGAAATGGAGAGGAGAGAGAGAGAGAGAGAGGAGAGAGAGAGAGAGAGAGAGAGAGAGAGAGAGAGAGAGAGAGAGAGAGAGAGAGAGAGAGAGAGAGAGAGAGAGAGAGAGAGAGAGAGAGAGAGAGAGAGAGAGAGAGAGAGAGAGAGAGGAGAGTAGTTGAGGCTACTGCGTAGGTAAGGTAAGGTGTGCGGGCGCGCGTGCGTGGTCAAGCGAGGAGTGGTGACGACATGAAGAATAATGACTCATTTATGAAGAGACTGCAGAGGCCACGGAGGGGGGGGGGAGGGGGGCTTCCAGTCTCTTTTGTAGCATTCCTCTCTTATTAGTCCCTCTCTTACTGCCTCCCTCTCTTACTGCCTCCCTCTCTTACTGCCTCCCTCTCTTAATGCCTCCCTCTCTGCTACCTTCTCTACCTCCTCCTCTTCCCATCTCCCCCTCCCCCATCACCTGGATACACCCCCCCCTCACACACACACACAGGGGTCTGGTAGCTGAGGGAATAGCGCGCGGGACTCGTAATCCTGTGGCCCGGGTTCGATTCCCGGCGCCGGCAGAGACAAATGGGCAGAGTTTTTTCACACTGATGCCCCTGTTCAGCTAGGAGTAAATTGGTAGAGTTAAGCAGCTGTTACGGAGCTGCTTCCTGTAGTTAGTAACAGTTGATTGATTGACAGTTGAGAGGCGGGCCGAAAGAGCAGAGCTCAACCCCGGCAAGCACAACTAGGTGAGTACTCTGCCCATTTGTTTCCGTCTCTTCCGGGACACCCTAAACCTCTGAGCAATGTGTGTACTCACCTAGTAGAGTGAGTGTATGTGTATGTGTGCGAGGATTATGTGTATGACAGAGCATATGTGTGGGAGAAGTATATGTACTCACATAGTTGTGTTTGCGGGGTTGAGCTCTGCTTTTTCGGCCCGCCTCTCAACTGTCAACCAATCAAGTGATACAACCCCTCCCCCTCCACACACACACACCTAGGAAGGAAGCAGCCGTAGCAGCTGTCTAACTCCCAGGTACCTATTTACTGCTCGGTAACAGGCGCATCAGGGTGAAGGAAACTCTACCCATTTGTTTTTCCTCCGGCTGCGGGGATCGAACCCCGGTCCCTAGCTCCACGAGTCTAGAGCGCTGTCCACTCAGCCACCGGCCCTCATGTGTGTGTATGAGACTGTGTCTGTGTGTTGATGATCCCATAAAATAAACAACTGTGATGCTTTAAAATGATAACTAACAACTGTTTTACCAAGACCGGAAGTCAGGAACACGTCTCAGTGGGCTCACACCACTCATCTCCCCGTGAGGTTATCTTGAGGTTATCTTGAGGTTATCTTGAGATGATTTCGGGGCTTTTTTTTAGTGTCCCCGCGGGCCGGTCCTCGACCAGTCCTCCACCCCTAGGAAGCAGCCCGTGACAGCTGACTAACACCCAGGTATCTATTTTACTGCTAGGTAACAGAGGCATAGGGTGAAAGAAACTCTGCCCATTGTTTCTCGCCGGCGCCTGGGATCGAACCCAGGACCACAGGATCACAAGTCCATCGTTCTGTCCGCTCGGCCGACCGGCTCCCTATAGAGACTCGGGAAATGTGACCAGCCTGGCCATCAATCACACCACTCATCTTCCCGGCCATTAAGATCTTATTTAATTCTCCAAAGTAACAAACCCGAAATCACTATTCTAATTCGAACAAAATAATACAAAAATTACCTATCTCAAGAGTTACTTTATCTGGTAAAATTATCTAACTCATAAAAATAATAAGAGAAAGAACACGATTTAGTTCATAATTATCGTTCATCAGCCTATAATTGTCACTATAATTGCTTTCTCAAAATGTGAGCACTTCTCCTTGGGCGGGAACTGAAGATATTTGTCAGCGACGCCTCCAGAAGGTCCGCCCGCCGTCACCGCTCCCTCCGGACGATCCCAAAACGCTCCAACAAACTATACACACAATTTTAATCAATACTCAAGTTAGAAGTTTATATTGTACCACAGGAAGTGTCCGCGCTAAAGTCAGGGGGAGGGGTCCAGTGTTGGTAGTGGTCCAGACAGTTGGACCAGTGTTGGTAGTGGTCCAGACAGTTGGACCAGTGTTGGTAGTGGTCCAGACAGATGGACCAGTGTTGGTAGTGGTCCAGACAGTTGGACCAGTGTTGGTAGTGGTCCAGACAGTTGGACCAGTGTTGGTAGTGGTCCAGACAGTTGGACCAGTGTTGGTAGTGGTCCAGACAGTTGGACCAGTGTTGGTAGTGGTCCAGACAGTTGGACCAGTGTTGGTAGTGGTCCAGACAGTTGGACCAGTGTTGGTAGTGGTCCAGACAGTTCGACCAGTGTTGGTAGTGGTCCAGACAGTTCGACCAGTGTTGGTAGTGGTCCAGACAGTTCGACCAGTGTTGGTAGTGGTCCAGACAGTTCGACCAGTGTTGGTAGTGGTCCAGACAGTTCGACCAGTGTTGGTAGTGGTCCAGACAGTTCGACCAGTGTTGGTAGTGGTCCAGACAGATGGACCAGTGTTGGTAGAGGGAGGGGGGGCAGGGATCGAGCCTCTGGGCCGGAGAACAACGTGATCCACTAAACTATGACAGGCAATTTAACTTTTCAGTTTATTTTGGTTTATTTTCGACTTTATGTTGCTTCAAAGTCTGATCATCCCGACTGTTGGCGTCTGCAATTGTAGCGTACCCGTAGCTTACCCGTTTACAGTTTCGATAGTTCTAACATCAGCACAGTCCGGCACTTAACTGGTAATTATCTGATAAGTTACTAACAATAGTTTGGTAATAAAGCTGTTGACTTGTGGGACCAATTACTGGGTAGCGCCATATACGCGGGTCCACTCTACGGCTTTATGTGCGGTCGACCCCACAGACGCATTCATAAATGCCGTTCATTCAAAACGGGAATTTTCTAAAATATAAATTAATATTATAATATATTAGCATATTGTGCATATATAGGCATAGGTTAGGTTAGGTTAGGTGTTTAGGTTCTGTTGGCGATTATTTGTATTTGTAGTACGTGGGTGAAGCATTTATAGCGTTGTGATTCGAACAAAATTCGTCAGTGAAACACTTATTCCGGATATGTTCGAACGTCAGCAGTTGTGAGTCGTGTGTAAGCCGCTTTTCATTCATAAACAGGGGGTTTGGCGGGTGCATGGAATCACTTTTGGATCTTTGTTTGGAGGACGGGCTGGGCTCTGAAGGAACCGGGCACAGACAGGGGGAGAGTTGGTACCTGTTGTGTGACGTCAAGCAGGCAGGAGGAAGGTTGGTACCTGTTGTGTGGCGTCAAGCAGGCAGGAGGAAGGTTGGTACCTGTTGTGTGACGTCACGCAGGCAGGGGGAGGGTTGGTACCTGTTGTGTGACGTCAAACAGGCAGGGGGAGGGTTGGTACCTGTTGTGTGACGTCAAGCAGGCACGGGGGAGGGTTGGTATCTGTTGTGTGACGTCAAACAGGCAGGGGAAGGGTTGGTACCTGTTGTGTGACGTCAAACAGGCAGGGGGGAGGGTTGGTACCTGTTGTGTGACGTCAAGCAGGCAGGGGGAATGTTGGTACCTGTTGTGTGACGTCAAACAGGCAGGGGGAAGGCTGGTACCTGTTGTGTGACGTCAAACAGGCAGGGGGAAGGCTGGTACCTGTTGTGTGACGTCAAACAGGCAGGGGGAAGGCTGGTACCTGTTGTGTGACGTCAAACAGGCAAGGGGAAGGTTGGTACCTGTTGTGTGACGTCAAACAGGCAAGGGGAAGGCTGGTACCTGTTGTGTGACGTCAAACAGGCAGGGGGAAGGCTGGTACCTGTTGTGTGACGTCAAACAGGCAGGGGAAGGCTGGTACCTGTTGTGTGACGTCAAACAGGCAAGGGGAAGGCTGGTACCTGTTGTGTGACGTCAAACAGGCAAGGGGAAGGCTGGTACCTGTTGTGTGACGTCAAACAGGCAGGGGGAGGGCTGGTACCTGTTGTGTGACGTCAAACAGGCAGGGGGGCTGGTGCCTGTTGTGTGACGTCAAACAGGCAGGGGAAGGCTGGTGCCTATTGTGTGACGTCAAACAGGCAAGGGGAAGGTTGGTGCCTGTTGTGTGACGTCAAACAGGCAAGGGGGCTGGGTGTGTGACGTAGGCTGGTGCCTGTTGTGTGACGTCAAGGCAGGCTGGTGCAGGGGGAGGGGAAGGTTGGTACCTGTTGTGTGACGTCAAACAGGCAGGGGGCTGGGGTGTGACGTCAAACAGGCAGGGGGAGGGGGTGGGGGGGGTGGAGAGGCGTGAGGAAAGAGAGGCACAAGGTGCCAGCTGGTAACCCTCGCTATACCTGTTGCTGCTCCCAGACGACGGCAGAGGAGTCCAGGCGCGGTCCAGCAGGCGGGGAGAGAAGGAGAGAGAGAAGGAGAGGAGGATGGAGAGAGAAAGAGGGAGAGGGGAGGAGGGAGAGATGGGGGTAGAGGGAGACGTGGGAGGGGGGAGCAGGTCAGGTCAACCAGTAACTGGACACAACACTCCAAGAGAAACACAATAAACAACACAAGAAGGCAACATTCATGACGTATCTACCTGACCCTTTACGAAAGCTGTACATCTTCTCTCGTCTGTGGCGGTTTAGACTCTATTCATCACACAGTTTACGAGCTCCCAAACTTCACAGGCCGAGGTTGTTGTTGTTATAAACAACTTCGCAGCGCTTAATTCCTTCCTCATAAACTGTTTCATTATCGTACACCTGGCTGTTATCATTTATTAAAGGTGTAGAGGTCTTGTAAGTGGTTACTTAAGTGTTTGATGAGTCCTTACTCACACCCACCACCACCACCACGGGGGCCCCTAACCCACCACCACCACCCCGGGGCCCTAACCCACCACCACAACCACCACCACGGGGGCCCCTAACCCACCACCACAACCACCACCACGGGGGCCCCTAACCCACCACCACAACCACGGGGCCCTAACCCACCACCACAACCACCACCACGGGGCCCCTAACCCACCACCACAACCACCACCACGGGGGCCCCTAACCACAACCACACCACAACCACCACCACGGGGGCCCCTAACCCACCACCACACCACCACCCCGGGGCCCTAACCCACCACCACCACCACCACGGGGGGCCCCTAACCCCCCACCACCACCCCGGGGCCCTAACCCCACCACCACGGGGGGCCACTAACCACCACCACCACCCCGGGGGCCCCTAACCCACCACCACGGGGGCCCCTAACCCACCACCACACCGGGGGCCCCTAACCCACCACCACAACCACGGGGCCCTAACCCACCACCACAACCACCACCCCGGGGGCCCCCAACCCACCACCACAACCACCACCCCGGGGCCCTAACCCACCACCACAACCACCACCACGGGGGCCCCCAACCCACCACCACGGGCCCACCAATTAAGAGTGGAAACCTTTTCAAGATTAAAGTCAAAGTCTTGGGTTTGAAGTCTCAATTTAAAAACATTAAGGTACTGAAGCCTAAATTCAACAAAACTGATGTTAGAACATTAATAACTACGCCCCAATCAGATTAAAAAGTCTGAACGGATTAAGCTTCAGCTCCAAGTGAGAAAACGTGAGATTTACGCCCTTCGTGGCATTTAACCTGTTGTAAGAGAACTAGTGAAGGCTGAACCAGGGACACCAAGCCTTGCAGACTTGGTAAGTCTGGGACATGAGTAAGACCGGCCTGGAACCTCTCCCACGCACGGGGGAGACACTCCACACATGCACAGAATACCTCGGACATCAACTACCCTCCCACACACCCACGCACACACACTCTCCCATACACCCACACACTCTCCCACACACCCACGCACACACACTCTCCCATACACCCACACACTCTCCCACACACCCACGCACACACACTCTCCCATACACCCACACACCCACGCACACACACTCTCCCATACACCCACACACTCTCCCATACACCCACGCACACACTCTCCCACACATCCACTCTCCCCACCCAACTCCCCAACAAAATCCTCTTCATACCCCCCCCCCCCACACCCTCATGCCCCATCCCCCCTTCCCTCTGGTGCTCCCCCCCCCACACAGACACCCTCCACCCTCCGCCCTGATCAATATTACCACCCACCCGCCAGTCCCACCCGGGAGGGGGGGGGGGGCACTGCCACACTCCCCCCCTACACACACACACACACACACACACACACACACACAGGGGGGCCGGTAGCTGTGTGGATAGCACGCTGGACACGTAATCCTGGGGCCCGGGTTCGATTCCCGGGTTCGAGTTTCTTTCACCCTGATGCCCTTGTTACTTAACTACAGACCAGTATCACTGACAAGCATCCCCCTGTAACGAACTTGAAAGAATAATCAGGTTAAAACTGGTTACACACCTGGAGAACATTAGGTATGTAAACAAACACCAACATGGGTTTAGAGAAGAGAAATCATGTTAACAAACCTTTTGATAAAGTAACAAAAATAAGGCAAGACAGAGAAGCATGGGAAGACTGCACATTCCTGGACTGCCAAAAAGCCTTTGACACAGTACCACATGGGAGACCGCTATTCAAACTTCAGAGGCAGGCGGGTTAAGTGGAAAAGCCCCAGTTTTCGTAAGGAATAACTTTACAGGCAGGACCCAGAGAGTAACAGTCAGGGGGCGAGAAGTGAGACTGGTGAACCGTAACGAGTGGAGTACCTCAAGGACCAGTTCTATTTCTAATATACGTGAACGACATGTGTTGTCGTTCACGTATATTAAGGGAACGACATTGAAAGAGGAGTAGACCAAGTCCAAGATGACAGGGCCAGAGTGCAGGGGGGAAATTGTGTGAAAATCCTGTTCCGGCTTCGGTAGCCTCAGAAACTCATGTGGGTTCAGTAGAACTCCAGGACAACACTAATATTAAGACAACGTTATCAAAAATGTTTTAGAAATTTATAAAAGGCAATT